GGGGGGGGGGGGGGGGGGGGGGGGGGGGGGGAAGGGGAAGTACTTTGACCGATGAATGTGGATAAACAGCAGCGGCAGAGCATCTAGCGGCCGAACTCCATCGGACCGTCCGGGTGTTTGGGTTCGCCAGACCCCTGACGACTTACTTTCTTCGGCAGCAACAACAGTGCATGCTTGTTCCTCGGTCTTGAGAAGAAAAGGAAATATATCTGTACCTGCGGAGGTAGTATTGCAAGTTGTGCCGTCTGACATTACCGATCCTTCAGTGTGTAGGCTCAAAAATGGGCTCAAAACAAACATCCAGCAAGTCCGAAATCCCTACCCACTGGTAAACAATTCGGTCAACGCGCCCCTTCAACTGTGGCAATATCGCCCCTCGAAGGAGTGGTCTTTTCAGATACTGGAATTGATGTGTTCCAAGAAAACACTGATTGTTCCCTGGCCACAGACCACTTCCTGTAGAAGACACGCGACGTAATTCTGGCACCCTTCGCCGTGACCACTTGCTGAACGGGTGCACCGCGTAATACACGTACTGTTCACTCGCTTCAAATCATGATGCAGGCAGCGAACCTCGTCGCAGAGCCCATTGCGTCCAGATCCGCAACTGCTGTACCGCGCACTGGTTTCTCTTGACGAAGTGGTCGTTTGCGGAAACCGTAAACTTGCCCGCTGCAGCAATGGAAACGCCCGTTACACGGTGCTGTTCCAAACGAAATGTTGAAACACGCCATCATCCGCGTGTGCTCCCTTCCTCCCCTACACCCGACCGATTTTTCGCTCAACATTGAAATCGACGGGGCCCCCACGGCGCGAAACGACAAAAATTGACCAATACCCAGAAACGGGTATACCCGGGTACTTTTATCACCACTTTAGGGTACAGTTAGAAATCAACTCAACACGCTTGCACCCCCAGGCTGTCAGCTGATTGGCCGAAAAAACATTGTACCCATTTCTGAAGAAACCTCCATCAGGTACAACTTCCGCTGGAATTAGGACCCTCTGGTGTGACCGATATTGGGTACTGGTGTACCCGGAAGAGGTCAATTTTGTACCCAGAAATGGTCATATGATCCCGGCGCCCGACGCTCTAGCATAAAACCCGCAGAAAAAACCGTGTACCGCACATACCGTGTACCACACATATGTGACCCCGGTTGGGTCGTCTAGCTGGTAGAAGTGGAGGATAGGGGCCAGAGGGGCAGACGACAGAGTCCAATAATGGGAGACAAAACAACAAACAATAACATACATGACCACAACCAAACCACCAACAACGCTCGCTCGTTCATCGTTCATGGGCACCGCCTCCATAGGATACCGGCCCTTCTCAACAGAGGGTCGGACTCGCTTGACGCGCGAGTACTTCGGTGTGGTACTGATCAGTAAAAAAAAGCACAGAGAGAGAGAGAGGCACAGAGAGAGAGAAAAACGGGCACGACCTGCCTCGTGCATCATGCTTCCGAGGCACAGGACACACAGGACACAGACAGCGGTTTATTGGTTTCGCCACGATCTACGGCGGATGCTGTCGAAGATTGGTGTCG